TGGCCCCATAGGGAGCTCCGCCGAAAGGCTCCAGCGACAGGGTTTGCACGCGACACCGCCGCCCATGTCGGCGCACCCCTCACGCGGTTCGCGGCCCCATAAGGAGGTCAAGCGAAGGCTCCAGTGACAGGGCTCGCACGCGGCGCCGCCGCCCATTTCGGCGAACCCCTCGCGCAGTTTGCGGCCCCATGGGGGGCTCCACCGAAGGCTCCGTTCGTGGCCCCATGGGCGGTTCGCGACTCCTTGGGGAGCTCCACCGAAGGCTCCAGTGGCGGGGGTTGCACGGGGCACCGCCGCTCATTTCGGCGCACCCCTCACGCGGTTCGCGGCCCCACGGGGAGCTCCACCGCAGGTGCCAGCGGCGTGTGCTGCGCGCGGGGTCGCCACCCAGCCCCTCGCTTCGAAACCCAACATTTGCAAATAGGTGTCATGGCCAGTGTTGCCAAAGTTGTCCAGCGCTCTCCCTCCGTAGCCATCTCGACGCAAAAAGCTGCGGTATATCGTTTCCAAGGCGCCTTTGTCGGCGGCGGGCCCGGGGCGGGATTGCAAGGGGCAGACCTTCGGGGCCTCTGAGAAGACCGCGGGCATCTTGCTCAGCCCATTCAATCGAAGACGCCTCAGGCGAGTCGCCGCCGCCCAGGACCTGGTGGAAGCGCAACTGTGGCTGAGTTGGGCGCTCAGGCATGAGACATCAATCAAGGTGTTCCTTCAGTTGGTCAAGAAGACAACCGGGGAACACGCGCGAGAGGGGTGGGTGGGGCAGGGGTGGGAAGAGGAATAGGAGCGCGGAGAGGAAGAGGCTAAAAAGGAAAACGGGACGGCTGAAAGCAGGGAAGAGGAGGAGGAGGAGGAGGAGGAGGAGGAGGAGGGGAGGGCGGAGGGTGAGGGCGCGGAGGAGGAAGTGGCCATATTGGAGGTCATCCGAGAACGGCCCCGAAAACCATGTACAGGAGACGTCGCGAGCGAAACGCATGCGCTTGAAAGTCCCAGGGGCCGCGCGGCAAGCCCCTTGGGATTTCGGCCGAGGGGGCCCGAATTCTGACAGTTTTTTTTTTTGGGTGGGTGGGTGGGTGGGTGGGGGGTGGGGTGGGGGGGGGGTGTGGTGTGTGTTGTGTGTTGTGTGTGTGTGTGTGTGTGTGTGTGTGTGTGTGTGTGTGTGTGTGGTGTGTGTGTGTGCGTGTGTGTGTGTGTGTGTGTGCGTGCGTGCGCGCGTGTGTGTGTGGGGGGGGGGGGGGGCTGAGGATCGAGGCTCAGGGGATGGAGCACAAGACCCGCAGACACGCCCACTTCGCGCCCAGGGCACGGCGGTGGATCTTCGGACACGGTCCAAGCAATTCTTCCGAAACGCACGCAGGTTTCTGAGAAGCCTTGCCGCCGCGTGGAAAAAAAACGCGCCCCTTTGCTAGTTCCCTGTGGGCCCGCCGCCGATCTGAGCGAGCGCGCATCTTTTCGATGAGTCACGCTTGCGACGATGATTTCGAGGCCGCCGCAGCTGGAATGGTTGACAGCGTCTTCGGGCCGAGGAATGACGTTTCTGGCGGCTGCCCGATAACTGATTCGGTTGACAACGGCCCGCGAAGCCAGGCTGTCCGAGAGCTAATATGGTTGACGACTTGCTCGGCCCATCGGGTCGCGCAGAAGACCGAGACAGGGTCCAGGCGAATATCAGTGTCAGAGCTGGCGGCCCAGGCACCTGGAGTGCGGCGCGCGTTGTCTCCGACATGCCCCGATGCGTGCACCCTTCTCGGGCGAGACATGCAGGTTTGCGGCCTCCTTGAAGTGGGGGCTGGCTTGAGGCATTTCGCGCTCCACTCTCTGACTGATTGTCGGCAGACCCAGCACGGTTTCTGGCAGGTCTTGGCCGGCGTCAATTTGGGTGGCACTTTTTTTTTTTTTGAGCGGCTGCCCGATAACTGATTCGGTTGACAACGGCCCGCGAAGCCAGGCTGTCCGAGAGCTAATATGGTTGACGACTTGCTCGGCCCATCGGGTCGCGCAGAAGACCGAGACAGGGTCCAGGCGAATATCAGTGTCAGAGCTGGCGGCCCAGGCACCTGGAGTGCGGCGCGCGTTGTCTCCGACATGCCCCGATGCGTGCACCCTTCTCGGGCGAGACATGCAGAGAGGCAGAGACTGATTGTCGGCAGAGAGAGAGAGAGAGAGAGAGAGAGAGAGAGAGAGAGAGAGAGAGAGAGAGGAGAGAGAGAGAGAGAGAGAGAGAGAAGAAGAGAGAGAGAGAGAGAGAGAGAGAGAGAGAGGAGAGACGAGAGAGAGGAGAGAGATGAGAGAGAGAGAGAGAGGAGAGAGAGAGAGAGAGAGAGAGAGAGAGAGAGAGAGAGAGAGAGAGAGAGAGAGAGAGAGAGAGAGAGAGAGAGAGAGGAGAGAGAGATGAGAGAGAGAGAGAGGAGAGAGAGAGAGAGAGAGAGAGAGAGAGAGAGAGAGAGAGAGAGAGAGAGAGAGAGAGAGAGAGAGAGAGCGCCCGCGGTGGGCTCCCACGACACTCGATTACCTTAGCTGTTCAACTACCGCCATCATTCGCGACGTTGGTTCTTGCGAAGCCATGGGGTTCCTTGGCCGTGGTCGATTGGAACGAACACTGCAACGTGCGGAGGCGGGTGGGGTGGCACCGCCCGTTGGTTCACGAAGGGCTCGTGCGCTTGCCGGGTGCTTTTCGGCGGCCCGCGTGGGAGGGCGCCGCAAGTTCTTCTCTGGCAGTTCCTGGTCCTTCGAAGATGAGCATCTATTCGCGTTTGGCGCGTCCCGTCGCGCTGCGTGGATTGCGCGTGCGAATCGTCGCGGCGGTCGCTGGGATCTAGCGGGCGGGGGCCCGCGGCCTCCTGGGGGGCAGCGTTGGAATTTCGCGGCGGCCGTTCTAGGGGCTTCTGGTTCTTGTCTCGGATGCGAAGGGGGTCGCTGGAACCCCCGTGGGTCGCACCGAGGCTAGCTCGGGGCATGCCCGAGCGGAGACTTCGGATTTTCCCGCCCCGTTTCCCGCGGGGGTTCCCGTGGGGGCCGTCGTGGCGCAGTGTGAGGGCCGTTGCGGTGGCCTCCTTCCTTTTTTGTTGTTGTAGTTTTTTTTTGGTTTCCTTATTTTTTGTTGGGTTCTCTCGGTGCACAGCGGCGCCCTTGTTTTTCTTCTTCTTTCTCGAATCGTCGGGATGACGAATCTCCGCGAACGCAACAACAACAACGACAACATTGTTCCACGACGCGCTAGTCCGCGTTTCGGAGCGGAGAGGCGGGTTTTCACAGCACCTGGTATTCAGCAGGCACTCGCGTCAGTGCGGCGCGCCGCCGAATTTGCGCGTCGCATTCCTGGCATGCGCCTCCCCGACGTGGAGGGGACACGCGGTTGCATGTGCGACGTTGCCGTCCAACTTCGGAGTGGCCGCCAACATTTGTTGGCTCATGAGTGGGGAAGCATCGGCGCCCATGGTGGGCAAAGCTACAGGGTGTCAGAGCTGATCTCGTTTTTTTTTTTCTTGGCCGATTTGTCGCAACAGGATGATCAGTTGCGAAAGGCTTGCGCGTTCGCATTGCAAGTCGTTCTTCTGAAGGAGCTCGCGCAAGCGTTCGTCCAGCAGGTGCGCGGCCAGTCTCTGGAGGGCGCAGTTAAAATCACATCCAAATCAATTGTCAGCCGGACACGAGGGAGAATCGACGTTGCGATGATGATGATTTTCCGCCAGATGGTAGGAAGTTATTTGATGGACCAGGGTTCATCCACATGGGTACAAGCAGACATCAGCCTGCAGGCTGGCAGGGGCTACGAGCTCATTATGATCTGGCTGGTTCGGAAGAGCGATTCGTTGGCTTACGCTGCGCCGCCAGCTTTTCGGGGCGTCAGACATGTCCATTGGAAGACGCGGACAACGTCTTCCGATGGCGCGTCCTCTACTTCCTCCTCATCCTTCTCCTCCTGCTCCTTCTCCTCCTCCTCCTCTCCCGACTCTTCCCCGCCCACCATTCCGGGCGCGCGAACCAAAGCAGCCGCGCTGACGCACCAGTCGAGATCTTGGAGTCCCACCCATATTTCCCATAGGCTATGTTCCCAAGGGAGGGCCTCCTGGAAAAGAGGAAAAGTATGCCGCGCGCCGAAGGGACATCGAAGGCCCGGAGGGGCGGCGGCTCTAGTTGATTTGCACGGTTTCCCAATGGAAATGTTGGGTTACAGAGGCGTTGAAATTGCACATGGGTCTGGCGATGCGAGGGGCCTGAGTCGGCTGGCTCAGGAAATCAGCAACATAATCATCGCGCACGTATGTCCACCTGTGAACCTCAGCCACGGCCGCGCTACCTTCGCATTGAAGTTCAGGGCATTGCTCCACGCGTTTGCCCTGCTTTGCAAAAGCCGTCAGATTCTAGAGCGCTTCCCTCAATCCATCGTCAGTTTTCACAGTGACTATGGAGTGGAGATTGGCTTCGCACGAGTTCTACCGATGAACGTCGCAGGCGCGTTGCCATATTTCGATGCACCCGCCGCCATCACCGATGACGACTTCTCCGCTACTTCCCCTCCGCCACCGCCACGCGTGCCTGTTGCAGACTTGACCAGGTCTTTCGAGGGGCCTGACTTGCTCCACATTATACAGCTGCTTGTGGCACCCGCGCCGCCGTGCTCGAGGCGGGGGCCAGGGGCTGCGCGGATGTTGGCCGGCAGCCTCCCCGCGCCCTCTCGGGCCCGGTGGGGCCGTCATTGCTGTTGGTTTGGGTTTCTTGGTGCCCGCGCCTATCTGAGTCGAGCTTGGGGTTTTCTTGGCCGCGTCGGCGCCCTTGGAAGAACCCGCCAGCGCGCCCGCGGGCGCCGCCCGGGGCCGTTCGAAAGGTCGAAGCGAGATGCCCCCAGTCCAAGGGCTCACGCGATTTTTTGTTTTTGTGTTATTTTCTTTTTTTTCTCCTTCTTCTAGAGGGGTGACCGTGGGCCGCCGCGGCCGGTTCGCCCGCGGCCTTGGGGAAGGGCGCCGTGGATCAGCAATGCCGCGAAAGGTTTGGGCGCAAAGATGGAAGGGTGCGATGGCGCGATATTCTTTCTGAAAAAGGTGTGCCGTCTTGTCGCGCGCAAGGGGGGCCAGGACATGTCATTGGAACGGTGTTTCAACGCTGGCGCCGCGTTGGGTCTCAAAAGAGATATCGAGAGGTTCCACGCAGAGGTTTACGAGGGCCGCTGGAAAACCGTGTCGCACGCCATATGCAGCATTCTTGACATTGAGATTGCTTTGTGCAACGGTTGGAATATGCGCGCTTACTCCGACGGCGCAAAAGTTTCCAAGGCGCCCGACCCCAATGCCGACGACGAGCACGACGCTAGGTTGGACCTCGTCGACGCCTCCATCCATGATGCTATTTGGTGGGCTAGGTTGGTAGGGTTGCGGGTCTTTGCACAGGGGCAACGGCAAGCCGTCCGATGGGCGTCGCATTGCCCATGCCATTGGCCGACCATTGAGATTGCCGGGTCGGAGGCAGATACTCCTCGCGACGTCATGGAAGTCATCGACGCATGCCTTCTGAGGGGGCGTCGGGGACCCGAACTAGCCAGCGGCGAGTTCTTCGACGTGATCCACGCTTTCTTTTCTATTTCTCTGGCCGGGCTCGAGACTGACTTGCATGCGCGAATCAGCTCAGATGCCGTAATGCATGTACTCGTGGATTTTGAGAGAGGCCGAGTGCATTTATATAAAAGTTGCCAATGGTTTGCTCCGCCACCGTGCTTTGGTTGCCAGCAAGAAGCCATTTGCGCAATTGCACGTCAGATTTGCGGCCGCGCCACGTTCAATTTGGTTTCCGCGTGGCCTGCAAGATCGGGTTTCGACCCGCTTGGTTTCTGTTTCGGGTTGTCCAGGTGAGGCCTTCCTTGGACGTCTCGGTCGCCTCTTCGGTGGTCTCGGGGCCCTCGTTGGTCACGTGGGGGGGTGGGTGGGGGGGGGGGAGACGCGGGGGCCTCTTGGGCCGTCTTGGAGTTCGGGCTGGCCCGATGGCTACGCACGCCACGAAATGCCCATCGGGAACAATCGCCCGTGCGCCAAGACATGGGAGCGGATTCGGCTTACACGATGAAGCTAATTTTCAAAACCCAAGCGCCCTATATTCTCGCCGGGCTCGGTCACCACGACGCGGCCGTCCGCGCCCGTTGCCTCGGCCAGGCGATGCATAGTGATAGCTCGCATCCGAGGTTGAAGGAGTTGCGTTGCAGCCCACTCCGCGAGCAATGCTTAGATTTTTTCGACAGTGAGGGGGGCTGGGCACGGTGCAAAGGAGACGTCGACGGGCTGAAAGAGACCGCAGTGGAGATGGCGCTATTGCATTCCCACACGTAGCGCATCGAAGGCCAACATGCTCGCGCCAAGAAAGCTACCGCCAGAGCGCCCAGCCACGCGGGGTCATACGTCAGCATTCAGCACAGGATGCCTCAGATGACGAAGTGGTTGGAGAACGAGTCCCAGATATTCGAGTCCCTCAGTGCCTCGTTGACGAGGGTCCACAACGGATGGGGCGCCGTGAACCACCTGGGCTTTTCTAGCCACCCGCTTGTGCAGAACGTCATTAGAGAGCAGTCCAGGCCCAAATGGAGAAACCTTATTTTTTATAAAGTAGTTTACCGCGCGGACACGTTCACCAAGTACGCCATGAGGCCTCCACCCGTCAGGGCGCATCTACGCTTGGAACGAGGCGCAGGAGCGGGCCATGCGTTTGATGAGAGCAAGGCGCTAGAGAGCCACATGCGCAAACTGGCACTGAAACATTTGGCATCCGAAGCATGTAAGAAAGAAGGCACCATGTCGGTGAGCGTTAATGCTGAGGCCTTCCAGCGCCTGTCATCATTATTGAAGCCGCAAGCCAGCGCACTTCGCGTCCGCCATGCACCCTTGGAAGACGATGTTGGCCACTGCTGTATCAATCCGCCGCCGACCATGCTGGAGCTCTTGCCTGACGTTCGGCGCACGGGCGCACCCGTGGAAGATGTGTTTTTTTTCTCCGTGGTCAACGTCGCGCCCGCGAAAGCCCAACGGACCCGTCTTCACAATTCGGTTTCTTTGAAAGGATGGTCGGTCATCAACGTCCACGATGTACTCGATATGCCAGGGCCTCAGCTGGAAGGGGCAGTGGTGAGCGCCAGCCCGATGCACATCAGCACAGGCTGCGCGGATGCGATTGCTGTCGCGTTCAGCCCCCATCTCCTCGATTGGCAGCAAATACAGTCTATCCGTTGGTGGCCTTCAGAGGGTTCTGTTATGGTTCGACAGTTGCCTCGACACATCACTCAGCTTGTGCCGCAGCACCTGTTGCCCAGCATTCCTTCTTTGCTGGATAAGTTATTATCCAGAGGCGGCGGCGTCACTATTGTAGTCGCCTGTTGGCCTGCGCCGCGATCCAAGGACCCTCGCCCCCCCCCCCCCCTCCCGACGCGAGCAGTTTCCTGGTGCGGGGGGGGGGGAGGGCATGTTGCTAGCTTCTCGGTGCGTTCCGTGGACCCTCTGGAGGGATTGTCGGCGCGTTCCTTGGGTGATTGCTGGCCTGTCGCTCCTTGCGGCGTCAGGCCGGGGCTGCAGACTTCAGCTTAGGCGTTCGAAAACCCATTCTTTGGATCGGCGGATTTCCAGCAGCGGCGCGAGTCAGCATGAGATTCGCTTGCTCGAGATGTTCGTCGCTGACGGCATATGCGAAGGACCTCCCTACAAGTTGACCGCCGTCGGATTGGAAGAGGTCCAGTATGGGCGAAGACTGGCGGAAAGCCGCCCGCTATTTCAGATGAGACCTGCGTGCTTGGATACCGCTTCAACGTTCCAACTGGTATTGGAAATGGAGGCACGCGGGTGGAAGCACCAACATATTCCAAGGAGGCACCGCGGCATGCGAATCGAATCGTTCTACACGGCTGGCATGGACCCTGCCCAGGACAAGGTCTGGTACACTCATCGGGGCGACAGCATCAAGCACGAGTACCTCCTGGCATTGCTGCAGTCGGTGGACGGCGTCGCTGTGCCACACCCTCCCAGCGCCACCGTTGCGGACTACAACAGGCTTTTGGGCAAGAGCACCAAGGAGGGCGCCATGAGGACGCGTGGGGCGAAGACGATTGGCCGCATCCAGGACACGGGCGATGACGAGTGGCCGCACGCGCCCGAGCTGCCTGGATTGCCTGACTTGCTTGCACTGCCTGAACTGCCGCACTCTCCCTCGTCCTCCTCGCTTGAAGTGCCATCTTCACCTGGGCTGTCGAGTGGTGAATCGTCATCGCCCTCCAGCGACAGCGACAGTGACGATGCCTGTGACCCACCTGCCGCCGACGAGGCCGCCTTGCCAGCTGAGCCCGACCCGCCTGTCGCCGACGAGGTGGCCTTGCCAGCCGAGCCTGCTGCAAAGCGCAGGAAGGTGTTCAAGGGCACGCCGTGGCCAGAAAGGGGGCGCTTGAAGCATAAGTTCTCGTACATCAAGAAACAAGCTCATCGCGGCGGCTACCAGATGACGTGCCATCTGCACGCGAACTGCCAGAAGACGTACAAAATCCGCGATGATGGCAAGACACTGGCGATGCTTAAGGCTTGGGCGCTGCTTGGTGACAACGCTGAGGTGCCGAACGCTGAGTGCCATTTCGGTTTATGGGCCAATTTCATTGAGAGCGCAGTTGACATTGAGCCCGAAGCGTACTTCGATGAGGACGCTGCGCCCCGATAGTCGGTTCTGTCGCGCCTGCGAAACATTTGCCAACATTTGCCCGCTACAACCAGCGCAAGGGTTTAGATCCCCCTCGACTTCGGGGAGGGACCCTTTATGTTCTTAGGCTTCGGCCTCCCACCCTCCGATGTCCATTCGTTTTGCAATGGTGCGTTGCAATAAATTGCATTGCGTTGCATTGTCATGAGCACGTGCCGATGATGGACTTCGAAAACCCATTCGCGAGGCTGTAGCAGATATGGCTGGGAAGATGGAGGACCCGAGGTCCTGAGGTCAGAGTGGAGACGAGAAGGGGGGGGCGCGGGGGGGAGGAGCACGAGGAAGACGGCAAAATCAGGGGAGATGGATGGGAACGTGGAGAGGATGTGGAGGGCAGAGGAAGTGGAGGAGAACAAAGAGGAAAAGAGTCGTTTGCCCACTCGAAGACAGCAATGTGTGCCTCCCCGCTATCCTGCACCGACCCAGCCGAAATAATGCAAATCCCCATTGGGTTGCTGATCAACCCAACGACAACAATGAAGAATGATGGAGGTGGCCGCTGATTCAATAAGCACAGCTCTGGGAGCGGTCCCGCTCAGCATGCGCCTCGTTCCTGACGCAATCGGCCACTTGGCGACTTGGCGATGCGAAACCACAGTCGCAACCTGCAATTCCGTTTTGCCCGGAAAGCTTTCCGTTCTGCCCGGAAAGCTTCCCGTTCTGCCCGGGATTTGCTTTCTTTTTCAGTGATTTTGGTTGATCAACCCAACGACAACAATGAAGAATGATGGAGGTGGCCGCTGATTGGCCCAACAAGATCAATAAGCACAGCTCTGGGAGCGGTCCCGCTCAGCATGCGCCTCGTTCCTGACGCAATCGGCCACTTGGCGACTTGGCGATGCGAAACCACAGTCGCAACCTGCAATTCCGTTTTGCCCGGAAAGCTTTCCGTTCTGCCCGGAAAGCTTCCCGTTTTGCCCGGGATTTGCTGTCTTTCTCAGCGATTTTGGTTGATTTCGGCCACCTGCCCTCGTCGCGCTTGTCTTGTTTTTTTCTTCCTCTCGCTCTTCCCCTGCGCCCCCTCCCGCTTCCACGTGCGAAAGCCTAGCAACGCATCAGTGCGGCGACCCTATTGCTTGGGCGTCATTTCCGAGTGTTTTTTCGCCGATCCCTTGCCGTAGATGATCTTCTGGCTCAAGGCGGCCAGTTTCTTCTGAATTCGCAGTGTTTGGGGATTTCGAAGCGAATCTAGCAAATTTCCGCGGGATTGGGGTGATCGAGCTGCCTTCTTTTTTGTCTGTTTATTAATTTCTTTTCTTTTTATTTTCTTTGGCATTTTTTTTCTTCGAGGGGCCCGGGGGCCTTCTTTTTTTTTTTTTTTTTTTTTTTTTTTTTTTTTTTTTTTATTTTTTTTTTGTTTTTTTTTGTTTTTCTTTTTTTTTTCTGTTTTTTTTTTTGTTTTTTCTCTTTTTTTTTTTGTTTTGTATTTTTTTTTTGTTTTTTTAGTTTTTTTTTGTTTCTGTTTTTTTTTTTGTTTTTTTTTTTGCTTTGTTTGTTTTTTTTTTTTTTTCTTCGATCGATCGGTTCAAGTTGCATTTGCATGGTTTCCTTTCGTTGAGTGCCGATTTAGAGAGGATTGCATTGGCCGAGCATTATTTACCCAAGTTCGGTAAAGTTTCGGCGCCTTCGTGTCAGATCGGTATATCCTCGTGACGCCGGCTCGCTTCTGGACTCATTCTGAGCGCTTCGCGTCTTTCAGTTTGCGGATCTTTTCCCCTAAGCACCCCGAAGCAGCCTGACCAGGAATTTACTGCCGCAGCCAAGTTGGCTTCAGAGGAAGGATTTCGAGAGAGAGCGGCAGTGTCGGGCACTTTCGAGCCGGAGTCACGCGATGACGTCCGTCGCCGACGCCCACAGCATAGGAGGGGGGCGATTTTTTTGTTTTTTTTTTTCTTCTTTTTTTTTTCTTATCTTTTTTTCTTTTTTTCTTATTTTTTTTTGTTTGTTCTCTTTTTTTTTTTTCTTCTTTTTCTTCTTTTTTTTCTTTATTTCCGTTTTTTCTTTTTTTTTCTTTTTTCTTTTTCTTCTTTTTTTTTTCTTTTTGTATTTACCTTTTTTTTTCTTTTTTTTTTTTTTTTTTTTTTTTTCTTTTTTTTTTTTTTACTTTTTTTCCGCCTGAAGGGCGTGTTCGCGGCGTCTGCGGCTCCGGTCGGATGGGTCGTCTACAGGGCGGACGCGGCGCGAGCGAGGCTGGAGTGGAGCCTGGCCTGCCTCTGCCTGTGCTGGGGCCTGAGTTGGTGGACCGGGGCGCTCAGATGGCTCGCCGCGCTGACGCAGAGTACCGCCGTGCCCGAGGAGAGCGAGGAGGTGCGCGCGCTGCGGGCTGAGCTGGAGGCCCCCCGCCTGACGGCCCACGGGGCGGGGTCGACGGCCGACGACTTCGGCTGGGCCGCGCCCGGCGGGCCCCCGCCCGCAGGGGTCCCACCTCCAGGCGTGCAGGGGCCCGCGGCGGGCGGCGTGCCCAGCGGCAGTGTTCCGGCGCCCGCAGACGCCGCCTCGCTGGGCGACCTGGCCAGGAGGCGCGGCACCTCCGCCCGCGGCTGGGGCCGCGCCCGCGGGAGGAGCAGGCTGCGCGCCGCTCGCGAGCGGAGCTCCGTGGCGGGCGAGCGCGCTGCAGGTCAAGGCGCTGCTGTCTGGCTACATGGCGGCGCAGCGGACCGACCCCCTGTTGGCCTCCAGGTTATGGGGGGCCGTCGCGGACCTCGAGGACGGCGGCTTGCTGGCTCCTGCTGTCCAGGTGACCCTCGCTGGGTGCGGCAACGTCGGGCCGCGGGCCTGGCAGTAGCAGGAGGCGGCAGCAAGGACATGAGGTGGGGGGCGTCGCTTCCACCCGACATGCAGAGGGCGGCGCCGGAGATTTATCGCCCGATGCGAGCCGAGGGCAGCGGCGGGGTTGGCGCTCCGCTTCGCCGGGGGTCGCACCTCGTCGACCTGGGCGGACCTGTGGACGTTGGCCACCAGTGTCGACTTCCGCCTGAGGGCCTGCGCCGACGACGACGAACTGATGCGGGTCCTAGGCGCGGACGACCTCATGGAGCTGTCCCTGCGGAGGCTCGCGTCGTACATCTACGAGGCGCGGAGCGGCGACAGGATGGGAGCGGCCCACATGCTGGGAATGGCTTCACCTGGGGGGCAGACGGACATCGCCCCCACCTGGCTTGGGCAGTCGGTCACTGGCCACAGCAAGCTAGAGCACCAGCGTCGCGAGCGTGCCGAAGCAGAGCTCCGACATCGTCATCGGGGCGGCGGAGGCGGCCGTGGAGCTCACGGAGACGGCCGTGGAGGCCGTGGCGGGAAGGGCGGTCGGAAGGGCCACGGCGCCTCGGGCGCCGCTGGTGCCGACGGCGCCTGACAGCCCCGCCGCGCGCGTCGGGGGAAACCTGCGACCGACGCGCGCCTCGAGAAGCAGCAGGCGTGGGTGCCTTGCGGGCGCCCATGCAGGGGGGCATTGAGAGAGACGCTGGAGGTCATGCAGATCTCCGAGAAGTTCCTGCCCGTGCGCTTGATCCCTCGGCCGAGGGACTTGAGCGCGCAAGCCGCTTGCTCGAGCCGTCTTCGACACCGGCATCGCTCCAGGCTGCAGGTTTGGGAGTGGGCCAACCAGTACCTCCGCGGGATCAACTCGATGTGCGGAGGGAGCTGTGGGGAGGTCGCGCGCTGCCTTTTCGTCGGATCTCTTGGACAGAACACCTGGGCGGCGATCGAGCGCGCGCATCGCGTTGCCCTACGCGAAGCGCAGCGCCTGTGTCGGGAGCGCTGGGAGTACGATCCGACTGGCGCCCAGGCCTTGCTTGCAGTGGCGGGGCCCGAGTGGCGACGGAGTGCGGCCAGGGCTCGAGGGCAGCCCGCGTGTGTCTGAAGTCCGAGGCCGTGGACGAGCCAGTGAGCTGTCGGAAGGTCATGATGCTGGAGGCCCTGGAACCCGTGGAGGCTGCCTTCTACGCCCAGGAACGGAACGTCATGGTCGACCCCAGGCACCGGAGCCAGGTGATCTTCAAGGAGTTTGAGCAGCAGCGCGGGTTCGTTGGAGGCGAGTGCGGCGAGTACATCGAGTATTTGAACAGGCCGGACCTCGTGCGGGGGATGTGGAAGTTCGCAGAGGAGAAGGAGGTGAAGGCCGTGGCGGGCCTGACCGCCGTGGCAAATCGGTCAGGCGATCGGCAGAGGAAAATCCGGATGACGTGCGCCTTCAACTACATGACGAGGGAGGTGCAGGGGCGCGAAGAACACGGACTACATGGTGGAGGGGCCCTGGCGCGGCTCCACGCGCCCGAGGGCGCCCTCGCGGGGGCGGCGCTGGACGGGTCCAACGCTTTCTCGTGCGTGGAGATGCCGAGCTGGATGTGGCCGCGGCAGGCGGCCCCCCCCCATCACGGCGCCCGACGTCGACCTGCAGCTGGCCGTCGGCCGCGAGGGTTGGGTCTATCCGCTGTGGACACGCCTCGTGATGGGGAGCTCTCATTCGGTACATGTGTTGATGAATCTATGCGTGAGAGTGATAGGCATGGCGCTGCACTACCGTCTAGACATTGGGCGCTCGGAGGCTTTCGACTCGCTGAAAGAGTGCCAGCTGTGCGCGGGGGGCGAGGACGACGCCTGGGCCGACCTTCAAGCTGTGCGCCGAGAGGCGGAGGCGCCGACAGTGGTAGTGGGCGTGCAGGAGCGGTGCGAGGCCGTTGGAGCCGCTTGTGCCTCGCCCCGTCGAGTGTTCGCGGTGATGCGTCTGTTCTCGGGTCCGCGGCGGGAGGGGGGCTTCGAGGGATGCCTGCAGGAGGCTGGCGTCGAGGAGGCCATGGAGATCCTGGTGCTCTCCTGCGACCTGGGCGCCGACTCGCAGTGGGACCTCGCGAAGACGGAGACCTTCGACCTGCTGATGGGCCTCGTCGTGGAGGGGCTGGTGGATGCCGTCGTGGGAGGGCCGTCCTGTGCCACGCGGAGCCGTGCCCGCTTTGTGGACATGTCGGGTGGTCGCGGACCACGCCCGCTGAGGCGGCGAGGCCTTTGGTCCCGGGGCGTGCCCGCCCGCGCGCTGACGGCCGGCGAGAAGCAGCGCCTCGACGAGGGGAATTTGGCCATGCTGAGCTTCCTTGCCTTCTGAGAGGCGGTGGCCCTAAGGGGGGTTTCTGGTTGACGGGGGGGGGGCCCGGCCCCCCCCTCAGTCTGGGCCGCGGAGCTGGAGCGTGCCCTGGAGGAGCGCACGGGGGCCACCCGCGCGGTCTTCGACCAGTGCACTTTCAGCGCTCCGACCCAGAAGTCAACGTGTCTCGCCGGAAATCTACGCCACTTGGAAGAGTTCGGTGGCCGCCGCTGTCGAGGAGACCGCCGCCGCGAAGTGAGCGTCGGGAAGCAGTTCGGGAAGTTTGTCTCGGGCCGCCTGGCCACGCACCCAGAAGGGCACTGCCGGGCCATCGCCCGCCTGCTGGTCCAGAATTTCAAGCTCATGCTGATCGAGGGCTCCGGGCCGACTGGGCGCTTGCGGGCGGGGGTGGCCGCGCGTCGAGTCGGCGACTATGCCAGGGGGCCCGCGGGATCCACGCCGAGAGGGCTCGCCATCCTGAACGAGACTTCGGCTGGAGGCCGCAGCGCGATCTTGGGGCGGCGCGACCTGGGCGTCCACCTCCATCGACGACGCTCTCTTCCTGTCCAACTTCGGCTCCACGGAGGGCCGACCCGAGTGCGACGTCGCCCTGCAGCCGTCTGCCGACAGCCTGGAGCAGGTCGGCTTTCTGGTCAAGGACCGACGCCGCCAAGGGGAGGTCAACAATATCATCGGCTACGAGCTCGAAGCGCGGCCTACCCGACTGCGAGCGCCCGCGAGACGGGCCGTCGACCTGTTCAGAGCCTTCGAGCTCCTGGCGCGCCGTAGGACGGTGGACGTGGAGGCGCTGAGGTCCATCGTGGGCGTCTGGATCTGGGCCGCGCTGGTGGCCCGCCATTGTTAGTCGGGGCCGCAGGCGCTGTTCTCCGTCATGGGCGCCGATGCCCCCCGCTTCCACCGCTGGCGGGCATCTGCCCGCAGGGGGGTCGTCGCCTGAAGAGGAGCGTGATCGGCCTGTACTCAGACCTAGGTGCGCCCCTCCCGGCCTTCCCGGTCACCCTCGCCACCGACGCCGAGGGGGGCAACGACCGCGACTTCGGCGGCAACGGAGCAGTGGGCGCTCTCGTGGGCCCGCGGGCCCAGGAGACCATGTGGGAGGCAGGCTTGCGCCCTGGCAAGGTCCTCGTCCGCCAGCCTGGCGCCGTCGAGAAGGTCGGGGAGCGCGGCGAGGCCAGGACGCTGAAGCCGTTCGCGCCTGTCTCGTCCGTGCCGGGGGACGTGTTGCATCCCGACATCGCGTGGACCAACCTGCTGGCCGGGCGCTGGAGGTATGCCGACAACGTCGCCCTGGGCGAGGCTCGGGCGGCGATCGCCCCGCTGGAGAAGCTGGCTTGAGCCGCCTCGGCTCGCCGGACCAAGTGGGTGAACCTGGAGGGAACATGATGGCGGCGTGGGCCTTTGCGAAGGGAAGGTCGTCTAGTGTCGACCTCGACTACTTGCTGAGACGCCTCGGGGCGCTTATGGGCGTCAACGACATCAGGCAGCATCTACCGTGGGTGGGCGCGGAGAGGCAGCCCGCAGTCAAGCCTTCGCGTTTGAGAGCATGTGGAGCTGTCTACACCGAGCCTGGGGCTCCCACGGCCGCGACCAATTCGGAACCGCGCCGGAGAGTCCAATCGTGCCCTTTCAGAGGCCGCCAGCTGCTGGCACGGACCCACACCCAGAGGGCAGGGTCACCGCCAAGACGCTGGACCACTAGAATAGTGCTGCCGCTCGCCTGGTGTCGTGGTGCCAGCTGCGCAACGCGAACCCGAGAGCGCCGGACGAGTGGGGCGACGCGCTGATCGAATTCAAACATAGTTTGCGAGACGAGGTGGGGGAGGCGGAGTTCATCGCGACGGTGAGCGCTGTCGAGTTCCGCTTCCCCGGCTTGAAGGGTCAGCTGGCCTGCTCGCGCGCTGCCATCTGCGGCTGGATCATTATGGCGCCTGTCCGACACGCGGTGCCCATGGCGTCGCGGCCGAGCAAGTGGGCAGCAGTGCAGATGGCCGGCAGGGGCCGCCCTCGCGTGGCAGCGGGCGTCGCGCTGCAGGCCCGCAGAGGCTTGCGGCCGTCCGAGATGCTCAGCTTGACGACCGACGACCTGACCTTCCCCGAGGATGGGGGCTACCACCAGGACGAGGGCGCGCTGGTGATCGGGCTGGGCCTCAAGACGGGGACCAAGGCCAAGCGTGCGCAATCAGCGTCGCTTCGTTTCCCACAAGATGCCGTTTTTTTTCCTTCCGCTTCGTCACTTGAGAAGAATAACTCCGCCAGGCCAACGCCTTTTCCAGTGCCCCTTGGAGGTCCACCGCAGGGGGCTGGCAGAGATCCAGAGGGGCTTCGGCTTAGACGTCAGGTGGGCCCCGCGCAGCCCCAGAGCCGGATGCGCTTCAGAGGCTTCATATTTGGCCCCCCGCTTCGAAGTGATCAGAGAGACGGGCCGGTGGAGAATCAATGGGTTCTAGTCTGCGAATCTGCATTGACGTAGTCTCGGCGGCTCAAATCAGCACGGCGCTGCGCCCCAAGGGCTTCGAAGCAGCGCCAGCGTGGGCAATCCGACATTGGCCTGGTACATCGTCCGGGCTCTTGCATGCCGTGGCGCCCAAGGGTTCCAAGCAGCAGGTCGACGGGAGCTGGGCCCCCGTTCACCGGGGGCCAGTTCCAAGGGATTGGTACGGACGCCAGGATCGCGGCCAGTTGCGTCGCCTGCTTCACATTCGTCGCCCGCTTCGAGCAGTCCAGGGCAGGAGTTCACGCTGATCCCTGCTCCAGTCCATGGTGGGGCACCCCTCGCCGCCCCTCTCACGGCGGCCTTCACCGCGGCAGCCGCGGCTGAACCCGCCGCAGCTGCGGGGCCGGGACCAGGGGCCGCGTAGGCCTTCCCCGCGCGCCCGCACCGCCGCGGGGCCTGGCCGTGGATCGAGAGTTTCGCTGGGATCCGCAGCGGGACCGCTGGGGGCCTTGTCGCGGTCGTCGCCGCGCTGGCGGTGCTCCCCGCCGCGGTCTTCCCCGCCGCGGCCAGCGGGGCGGAGACCGTCGCGAACGTCGTCGAGGGCGTGGGCGGGGCTGCGAACCGGGTCTTAGCATCGGGCGCGAATGTCGCGGACTCTGCGGTCCGTTTCGTGGGGGCCATCACGGATGGCACGCTGGCGCTGGGGGTTGCCGCGTGGAAAGGCAACGACCTCTTGAACGTCGCAGTGGTGAGTCGGTCATGGAGACTCCATCTGGGCGCCGAGGGAGATGTCCCCGCCCTGCTGAGGAGCGGAGCGGGTTCAAAGATTTTACAGATGCCACTGGCATGGGTTGAGGAACTCATCGAAGCTGTCCACATCGTCGCTCCAGGCCGCCCACTCGCCGACCACTGCCTTCACCGGCGTGCGCCGGGAGGGCTCGACGAGCGCGGCCTGTTCCAGACGATAGTCTTCGAGGTGCGCTACTCGCGCACAGGCCGCATCGCGATGGCATGGGCGACCTCGAACGTCACCTTCCAGGCCCGCTGGGCCAATCGGTGCTGGGAGCTGATGGGCTACGACTTCGGCCCGATGACAGAGGAGATTGGCTCAACTCTCCTCCGCGCGCTGGCCGAGACCAGCCCCGCCCCCAACCTAGACCTGGGCGTTGAGGAAATCGAGGGCGCCCCGGGCATGCCGTCAGCGACCTGGCCGTTCTGGGTGCGCTAATTCGTTTGCTGTGGGAAGAAGCTGCTCGACCACGTCTGAGATCGCTGGGCGGAGGCGGGCTCGTGGGAGGGGGTCTTTACAGCGCCGGCGCCAGCGCCGCCACCAGCGCCGAAGATGCCCTCCCCTTGATGCCCGTGGCCTGCGAGGAGTGGGACTCAGAGTTTTTGGCATGGAGACGGCGGCGCTCCTTTCGCCGCCGTCGAGAGGCCTGCGCAGACCAAGGCTTTCAATACTTTGGTATCGAGGTACTTATGTGTGAACAAGGTTGAGTTCCCGAGAAAAGGATGAGCACTTCTCTCATTTGCAATGGCAGCTTCTTGTATATAGTCAATCACTTCGCGATGGCATCGGCGTCTTGTGAGGGCCCAGTAGCAAACTATATAAATGATTTAGGGAGCTCTTGAGCGAGTGTTCTATTTAGACAGCAATGCACAAGGGTGGGGGGCGCGCGATGCCGCAACCAAGTTGGCTCGCCCTGCCCGCAGGGTTCCGTTCGCTTCCGTCTGTGTTCTCCCCCTCAGAGTTTTTGGCATGGAGACGGCGGTGCTCCTTTCACCGCCGTCGAGAGGCCTGCGCAGACCAAGTCTTTCAATACTTCGGTCTCGAGGTACCTATGTGTGAACAAGGTTGAGTTCCCAAGAAAAGGATGAGCACTTCTCTCATTTGCAATGGCAGCTTCTTGTATATAGTCAATCACTTCGCGATGACATCGGCGTCTTGGGAATGGCCCAGTCGCAAACTGTAGAAATACATATATCCACGCAACTATACCGACATGCACACATACATACATACATGCATACATACAGACATGAAACATATACGCATACACGCATCATGCATGTGTACGTACATGCATCAACACACATTCATCCAAGCATGCACGCATACATACACACACATGCATCCATAATTCCATACATCCAGGCATCCATCCGTACACACAACCATACATACATGCATGCACACATGCATGCGTATATGCATGTATACACACCGACATGCATACATTCATGCATACATACATACATGCATGCGTACATCCATCCATACATACACTTATACTTAAACATGTTATTGTTGTCTCTCTCTCCTCTCTCTCTCTCTCTTCCTCCTGTTTCTTTTTCTCCTCTCATGCCTTGCCCTGCACTACCCTGTCCCTCTTCCTTCTCCTCCCCACCCCCGTCTCCCTCCCCTTCTCATCTCCATCTTCGTCCTTCCTCCATCCTTCGTCTTTCTTAGTGCAAAGGGGGTCTGTGTCCACGAGCGGAGCGCACCGCTGCCGGAGTGCACCGCGTCCAGAGTGCGGCAGGCTCGCGCCCGTAGTGGCGGCGGCCCCGGCGCGGGCGCTCCAGGTCGGGCGTCGGGGGCAACAGAGAGGCCCAGGTCGGGTCAGACGACAGGGGAGAGGGGGTCGGGAAAGGGAAGGTCGCGACACCTGCCCCGTGCAGCTTGTTTCGGCCCCGCCTCTGGCGCGCGGCGGCGGCCCCAGCTAGGCCAGGTCGGACGACAGGGGGGGGATTAGGTCACGCGTGCGTGATTTCTCCAGGTGGTTTCCGCGACGTGGGGGCCGGGGCCCAGGAGCAGAAGAAGCTAGTTCTGGGCTGGGGGAGTCTGGCCGCTGACGAGGGCAGCTGAGCAGCAGAGCCGACCCTCGCTTGACCAGGAAGTAGGAAGACGGGGGGGTGTTTGGGCAAGGGAGGGGGGTGCGAACTCTGCCGCGTGCAGCTTGTTTCAGCTTCGCCTCCGGGCATCGACACATGGGCGCCTCTGGCGCTGGGAGGTGCCAGGAGAATCGGCTACGTGAGCTGATGTGCCAGCCTTCCCTTTCCTACCCCCCCCTTTTCTGTCCAACCCGATCGGGGGGATACCGACCCCCCGATCGTCCATTTATTCGCCGGTCGGGGCGTCGGTGGCACAACCTGCCCAGAAACGTGGCGATGTATCGCCGATTCCATGTCGATGTTCTCCCCCCTGAGCGATTCATTCCCCCTCAGAACACCGCCAGTGGCCCAGAATGGGCCGACTGAGCTGTGGGAAAGCCACAACCGTTCAGGGTTACACAATTCGCGCGTGTTCAGAGGCTGACGCTGACGTCGTCACGGCACGAACCTGCCGTAAATGGGCACTACACCAGACACTTTGCCGCTGATTTGCACATCGCAGGGTCATTGTGCCTCTCTCTCTCTCTCTTGCGTGGAACAGATGTTTTCTCAGCCGCCCCCTGAGCGGGAGGGGGAGCTCAAATTATGGAGCATTTGGGAGGTACTTCCGTGCCAGCCTCTACGAGGACGCCTCGGTCATCCTCTCAATCATGGTCTTTGAGATGCGCATCGGAAGGATGATGGTGAAGAGTGCGATGGTGGAGCGAGAGGTGGAACGCGTTAAGGTGTAGGCAGAAGGAAGGAGGCAGTGCGAGGAGAGTAGCGCGGTGGGAGGGCGATAGAGGAGAGGTGTGGCTCAGGAAGGGAGGGGGGGTATCGTGCCGAGTTGGGGCTGGTGCAGTGCACCTCAGGGTCACTGCATTCTACCATCACGCCCCCCCCCCCGGGGGCCTCACTGCAGCTTCGGCAAAGCTGCCGCTGCTCTTTGAGCTCTAGCTTGAGCTCGAGCCTGATCTTGACCTTCGTCTTTGCGTGCAGCAGCGTAAGCGGATGACATCCCAGCTCAGCT